CCAGACCTGCAGGAAAACCATTGGGCTACAGCTCAGGGGAAGGAAGTCTTTATCTGGGAACACCACGAAGCCGGAGCCACAACCAGGCTTCCATGGGATGCATCTCGTGGTCCTGAGAACAGAGAACAATGAACTGCTGAGTGCAGGACGGAACAGACCGGAAATCCTGTCCCCTGGTCCCCTGGGGGAGGAAGGTGGTATGGAGAGGACGTTAACCACATCACACTGCCCTCTCGACACCAGGGTGCCACTCTCCTCAGCTCCACAAAACTGAGGTGAAGTCAGCTTCAGGAAGGCTCATGGGGGTGGGGAGTGCAGGGACAGGAAGGGCGGTGTGACCTGGACCAGGGACAGAGAGACAGCTCAAAGAGACCAACGCCACCAGGCAGAGCAGGGTCGGTTCCGACCACAGCCAGGTCTGTGGGATGTGCCTGTGGGAGGCAGTGCACCAGAGATTGTGGACAGGAGGCAGAGGGGACATATGATGCTCACACTGGAGGGGACCGTGAGCTACAGAAAGGACCAGAAGGGGAAATGTGGGCCTGGCCAGGAACAGGCTCCACAGGTAATGGGCGGCAGGGTCTCACAGCACTCTTCCCTGGGTGTCACAGAGCCATCATGAGATCTGCAAAACTCCCGCAGACCTGCCTCTTGGTCCTCACCAGGAGCCAACACCCTCCCTAGGTCCACTGGTCCCCTTACATGTGTTCACCCAGCAACACTCTGCCCCCATGGCTCAGCCAGGGCCCCCATGAACCCCAGGATGGGCTGCCGCAGGAAGACAGCACAGAGTGCCGTTCTGCTGCCCCAGCCCAGCCCTCACGACATGACTCGCAGCAGTCCCAGCTACCGACAGCAGCAGCGCTCGTGCTGCGCGCAGGAGGTCGCCGTCCTGGAGAAGAGGGCTGTAGGGCCACAGGGACAGCTCAGGACTCAGCCTCAGCAGGGGCCTGGGGACCCACAAATGCGACCTGTGGGGAAGGCCCAGCTTCCAAGCAGAGTGGGGATTCTCCAGGCTTCTCAGGGGCTCCCAGTGGGCTGAGGGTAGCTCAGAAGTTGTAGCCACTGCATGTGGCCTGCAAGGGTGCGCTGCCCTCCCTGGCTCCCCCCGGCCTCTGCACCTCCTGTCTGCCCTGAAGCGAGCAGCTCTCCTCCGCCGCCAGCCAGCCCAGCCCAGGCCAAGCGGGGCCAAAACTGATCTCGCCTGCTCTGAGTCCTGGTTGCCAGGTTTTGTGCCAGCAATAAGAGAGGGAAGTGGTATTTGTAGTTTAGATAAACAATAAGATTTTAGGGTAGGGGCTGGTGAGATGGCTCAGTGGTCTAAAGCACCTACTTAGAACAAGCTTAGCAAAGCATCAGGGACCGCGGTTCAATCCCCCAGCACCACATGCCAGCCAGCCCCGCCCCCTGGTGGGCTGAGCTGGCCACACACCTCTCTCTCTCTCTCTCTCTCTCTCTCTCTCTCTCTCTCTCTCTCTCAAATAAATAAAAAAAAAAGATTTTAGGGTACATTTTTTAAGTAGGAAGATGATTTCAGATGACATGATATTCTACCAGAAGACCTCCAAAATTACACCTAAAGACTTGTAGATTTTAATAACAAAATTCAGTAGCATAGCTGGTTACAAATTCAAACTCAAAAATCAAAGCATTCCTGTACACCAAGAACAAACTCACTGAGAGAGAAATTAAGGAAACTGTAACTTTCACAATAGCATCCAAAAAAATGAAATACTTAAGAATCAATCTAACAAAAGAAGCAAAAGATCTATATAGTGAAAAGTATAGTACTCTGTAAAAAGATATCAAAAGGGATTTCAGACAATGAAAGGATTCCTTGTTTCTGGATAAGAAGAATCAATATTGTGAAAATGGCCAGACTCCCAAGATTATTATACATATTCAATGCAATCTTGTTGACGCACCATTAGTACACCTTGCAGATCTAGAGAAAATCCCTGGAACCAGAAGAGACCTACAATAGCAAAGGCCATCATGGGCAAGAAAGGCAAGACAGGAAGCACCACAATCCCTGACCTGAAACTACACTTACAAGGCTACTATGATTAAAATCAGCATGGGACTGGCAAAAACACAGACCTGGGGATCAATGAAACAGACTAGAAGATGCAGACAGCTACAAACACACTCAGCCACCTTATCTTTGACAAAGGGGCCAAACATGTTCACTGAATGAAAGTAGCCTCTTTAATAAATACTGCTGAAAAAAAAATTGGCTTTCCACATATTAAAGGCTAAAATGAGACCCACGTCTATCATCATGTACTAAACTACAGCCAGAATGGATCAAAGATATAAATACTAAAACAGAAATACTAAATCTTATGGAAGAGAAAGTAGCTAGAAATCTTGAAGACTTGGGGTTGGCAGAGAGTTCATGAACAAAAACCAACTGCACGGGAAATATTTCAAAGAATCAACAACTGGGGCTGTGCCAGCCCCAGCCCCAGGGCATACTGAGAGGGCACTTGACACTGGACATGGTGGCACCCTATAATCCCAGCTCTTGGGAGGCTGAAAACAGGAGGATCACTACAAGTCTAATCTGTGTAGTGAGACCCTGCAGACCCTGTATTAAATACATTATTACCAAAAATGGACAACTGGGATCTCATCTTTTTGGGGGGACATTGTGCTCACCGGGAAGGCTCTTAAGCCACTGATCTATTCCCTGGCTAGGATCTTATCTTATTGAAAAATTGTTGCACTTCAAAAGAAATCAACAATAGAGTAAAAACAAAACCCACAAATTGGGATGAGATTTTAGCTGACTGGCCCCCACAAAGGAACATACAAAGAATATTATAAAGAGCTGGGGATGTAGCTCAGCAGTGTAAACACCTGCCTGGCAAGTGCAGAGTCCAGAGTTGATCCCCAGCATGCACACACACACACACACACACACACACACACACACACAGAATTTTTAAAAATCAGAGCCCCCAAATTCAAAGACAATCCAAAAATGGGCATCTGAGATGAATACACACATCTCAGATGAAGAAATACAAATGGAAAATAAATGTATGAAAAAATGTTCAACACCATTGACCATTTGAGAAATACAAATTAAAACAACACTAAGATTCAGTAAAGAGGGGCTGGAAAGATAGCTTAGCAATCTAAAGCACCTGCTTATGCAAGCATGCAGGGACCGCAGTCCAATCCCCAAAAACACATGCCATGCCAGCCCCACCCCCAGGGCAGGCTAAGCTTGCCACAAAAAAAAAAAAAGTACAATAAAGAATGGCTGTCATCAGGAAGCCAGCCAATAACAAATGCTGGAGAGGCTGTGGGGGAGGGAGCCTTGCACAGCTGGTGGGAGTGGAGAGGCTGTGGGGGGAGGGACCCTCTGCAGGGCTGGTGGGAGTGCAGGCTGGCACAGCCACTGTGGAAATCGGTGTGGAGATTCCTCAAAAAGCCAAGATTGGAGGTCCCATTCAAGTGAGCTAGTCCCCTCCTAGGTGTTTTTCCAAAAGCTCTGAAAAATATCACACCACAGCAATAGGTGTACACCCATGTTTATAGCAGCACAATTTGTCATGGCTAAACCTTGGAAACAGCTTAAATGCCCATCATCTAAGGAATAGATTGAAAAAATGTGGTATTTTATACCATGAAGTATTACTGAGCTACAAAGAAAAATAAACTTGGGCCAGGAAGATAGCTCAGCAGGCATAAGCACCTGCCTGCAAAGAGCAAGGCCCTGAGTTTGATCCCAAGTATGGAAAGAAAGAAAAAAGATAGAGAGAATAGATAGATGATAGACAGACAGACAGATAGATTGATAGATAGATAGATGATTGATAGATGATAGATAGATAGATAGATTGATTGATTGATTGATTGATTGATTGATTGATTCAAGGCCTTTACAGTTACATGGATGCACCCAGAGACCATACTCATAAGTGAAATAAATCAGACCTGCATGTGCAAGCATCATATTGTTTCCCTGGGGTAAGAACCTGAAATAAATAAAATCTGAAAGGTATAAGAGATACTGTGAAAGAGAAAGAAACTGTTTAAAGGGAAGGAACAACTGGATGAGGGAAGGGAGAAAAGAAAGAAGAAGAAAAAAATATACATGTACATACATAGGATAGCTGGTGCCTCAGTTGCTTTTCTCTCATTACTGGAACAAATATGTGACAACCAAAATTAAGGAGAGAAAAGTTTATTTAGTTCACAGTTTATGGAGGTTTCAGTCAATACTCGCTGGCTCCAAGACGGAGCAGCACACAGCAGAGGGCAGCAGGTCATGGGGCAGAAAAGAGCAAGACAGCAAGAGTGAAAAGGGAGCCGCAGCGACAGAGAGCAAGGCTCTCTCCCCTCCCTGTATTGCATGCAGGCTCACCACTCCAGGGCGGGTGCAGCGCCCACACCCATAACATCAGCACTGGATCATGAATTAATCCCAAACTCTAGAAGCTGCCCCAATGACTACATGAGGCTTTGGGAGACAGCTAGACATAAACTAGACAGGTGGGATAATTGTACTGCTGATTTCTATCGGTCTATTGAAAGGAACAGTTAATGCTTAAATTTTTTTTCTTCTTTTTAATTTGTCCTTACCAATTTTGCATGCCTGTATCTGGTAATCTAAACAACTAATCTGAAGACAACAATATGCAATACAATAACCATTGTTGAGTTCCCATCATTTTGTTTAATGAAATGCTAAATGATTTCTAATTTTTTTATTTTTTATTCTTTTTTTAGAAAATACATTTAAACAAAACAAATACATTTATTTTAAAAATACTCTTTAAAAAAAGAAAAAAGCCCCGCCCCCTGAGCATGCTGAGATGGTGATTAAGATTGGGCATGGTGGTGTGCACCTGTAATCCCAGCTCTTGGGAGGCTGAATATAGGCAGATCACTACAAGTCCAATCTACGGAGTGAGACCCTGTAGACCTTCTACTAAACTACAAAGAAAAAAGAAGACAATTTAGCTTGATCAGTACCAAGAAATAGCTTTATATATTTTTGAGTTTTCAGTGATCTAAAATGAGCATGAGTTTTTTCATCATAAAACATAACTGTTATAACAATAAATAAGTAGCAGTCACAAAATTACAGCACAGCAGAGTCCAGGGTTCTGTGCTTCAGTCAGCTAGCAGATCTAGGAATGGCGGCCAGGGCAAGGGGAATACAAACAAGGGGAAGGCTTGGGAGAGGGAACTGCGGGGAAAAGGGACAGGGACCCGTCTCTCCGCTGAGCCAGTTGCTGAGGTTCCCTCTGAGCAAGTACCCTGGGACAGTGTTTCAGGGGAGCTCCCTTCCTGACACCTCCACCCAGGGAGGGGACAGAGAAGCGAGGTCCTCCCCACCGTGGGGGCACCAGAAGCCTCTTCTCCCAGCCAACGGGGCAGCAGTGCTGCAGAGCGGTCCGACTCAGGTGGAGGAGTCCTGACGCTTCCCTACCAAGAAGGTTCAAAGACCAGGGTCAGCTGGGGCTTCTCCTCTCGCAGTGTCTCTAGCACATGCCTGGTCTCATAGTTGAAATACATTTCATTCAACCTGGAAATAAATACAGAGAGAAAGCTGGGACGTGCTCTTCAGAAAACTCCGGGTTTTGAGTCTTAAAATCTCATCTCATTTCCCTTAAGACTACCCACCTCTGAGCTCTGAGCTCTAAAATGCTGTTTAATACCCAGCGTGTTTTCTGAGGTTGGTTTGTTTTTGAGACAGAGTCTCACTGTGTTGTCCAGATTGGCCTCAAATGCATGGGCTCAAGCAGTCCTCCTGCCTCAACTTCCCAAATTGCTGGGACTATAGGCATGTGCCACTACACCCAGCTTGCTATGTTTTGAACCAGCCATTTCCATGGACACCACTAGAAAGAACCTGCCACGGTGGCCACACCCCACCCCCAGCCTGCTCCAAGGGGCCCAGATGCCCAGGCCTGCAGCTGGCCAACTCCACCGGCTGGCCGCACACTCACTGCAGGTTCTGAAGGACACAGGCCTCCTGCCTCAGGACCTCGCAGAGCATCATGACACCCAGGTCGCCCAGGTCGTTGTTGCTGAGGCTCAGCTTAAACAGGCTCCGGCTGGAGGTCAGCACCATGGAGAGGTCCCAGCAGCTGTGAGAGGTGAGGCTGCAGTTGTCCAACCTGCAGGAAATGGGCTCTTAGCCAGCTCCACAAGGCCCAGGCCCACACCTGTGTGCTACAGCTGCAGGAAAGTCACAGCATTAACCAGGCCCCTGCCTGTAATCCCAGCACTCAGGAGGCTGAGGTAGGAAGACTGCGGCTAGCTCCAGGCCATCCTGGACCACAGAGCAAGAACCTGTCTCAGAAAACCACAAAGAAAAAAACAAATCAAACAAGAGAAAGATGGGGCTGGGGAGATGGCGCAGTTGAATAAGCACTTCCTTGGCAAGCGCAAAGGCCTGAGTTCAATCCCCAGTTCCGAAAAAAAACAAGAGAAAGAAAAAGAATGACAGGCCTAATGAGTTGCATGCAACCCTGGGCCAGTAGTTCTTTTCCTCTCCTCCTCAGGTATAGGTCCCTTTTTCAAGTCTGCTGCATTGTGCAGGTCAAATTAGAATTAGAAATTGACCCTCCATGATGTCGATGGGAAGAACTCAGCCTCCGACCTGTCCACCACCTAGACGCACTCCTCAGACTCCCCCAACCCCATGAGGACCCCACCGAGGATGAAGCCCCTCCCGGCAGAGAGTGTGTCCTGGCAGCTGCCTCCCACTGCTGTGCCCACCTGTGCCCTGGCCTCAGCAGTGGGGACTCACTCCAGCATCTGAAGTGTGCAGCTGGGGTACAGGAGCCCCTCACAGAGCAGCTTGAGTCCTGTGTCGCCGAGAACATTGCCCCGAAGGTACAGGTGCGTGAGGCTCTGGGTGGTCCTGAGCACGGAGGCCAGGGCTGAGCAGCCCACAGATGTGAGGCCAGAATCCACCAAACTGTGGAGAGAACAGAGGGGAGGCCAGGCATGGTGGTGCACACCTATACTCCCAGCCCTCAGGAGGCTGAGGCAGGAGGATCACTGAGCTCAAAGCCAGTCTGGGCTACATAGTGAGTTCAAGACCAGCCTGAGCTATATAGCAAGAAGGAAATCTTCAGCATACGGGCTCCCCTTCCCCCTAGTGCTGTGCAGCTCCCAGCACAAGGCCCTGGGCTGAGCAGCTGTGTCCCTGAACTCAAGTCAGAGCAGCGTCTTGGATGTGACCAGAGGGTTCTGTGGCTCAGTTCCTGAGTCCCACTGCAGAGGCAAGGGTGGTGGCAGCAGTCACTCTGCTGGGATTCACACACAGAAAGAGCAAGGAAACTGACCCCAACCCTCGCCATCTTCCTCCTCGCACTCAGATCCCATCTGGCCCTGGACATTGCGCAGCCCATCCGGCCTGGCTCCAGCCCAGTCTCCACACACACCCTGCAGTGTGGAAGCCCAAGGCTGGGGTTCCACAAGCAAGGTTCTGCACTCTCAAGAGACAGAGCGCAGGTGCATGTAGAGACTAGCCCTCTCACCCTCCAGAAATGCAAAATGCCGCCGGCAACGAGGTAGGAGCCAGGGCCAGGCAGCGACAGCAATGCCACCTCCAGGAGTGACCCTATATAGGCCCAGTCATGAAAATTCGGTGCCCCAAGCCCAGCAGGACCAGATTCCTTATCAGGGCAGGGACTCTGGACACAGTCAGACACACAGGCACAGGAACAGCCACAAGGACAAGGGCAGCATTCGGGGTGGAGCAGACCCAAGTGCAGCTGCTGCAGGCTGCCTCAGACCCCCAGGTAACGGGAGGTGGCCAGAAACACAGCCTCCTCTAGGCAGGAACCAACCCTGCCCAGACCCTAGTCCAAGACTGCAGCCCCAGAAGTATGAACATGTGACTTACTAAGTCATGGTGTCCATGAAACTTCATTACAGCCTTAACAAACTAATATGTAGAGTACATTAGGGTAATGGGGGGATGGAGGGATGGATAGTGTGTGGATGGATGGATGGTGGGTGG